ATACAAATCAAAACAGTTTGCAAGAAGTATTACTGCCTCTTTTTGAGTGACACACCTCACAGAACTTACGCTGTAGCTCACAGGGTGTTCAATATTTCATGAGGTGTTGTGCTGTTTCTGTGTGACCTGCTCTTTGCTGTATAAATTGTGTCCTCTGTGCTTCCTTGTTAGTGTGTTGTGTTGTACTGTATTTGTTGTATTCTTGTTTCTCGATCTGCTCTGCACTGCACTGCACTGTTTCTCTCCTGTATGCTATTCTGATCTGCTCTGTGATGCACTGCACTGTGATGCTCTGTGATGTGCACTGTGCTGCTCTGTGATGTGCTGTGCTACACTGGTCTGTAATGTGCTGCTCTGTAATGTGCTGCACTGTGCTGTTCTGCTCTGTAGTGTGATATGCACTGTACTGCTCTGTGATGCACTGTGCTACTCTGTGGTGTGCTGCACTGCTCTGCTCTGTGATGTGCACTGTGCTGCTCTGAGGTGTGCTGCACTCTGCTGTTCTGTTCTGTGATGTGCTGCACTGTGTTGCTCTGTGATGTGCTGCACTATGATGCTCTGTGATGTGATGTGCACTGTGCTGTTCTGTGATGTGATGTGCACTGTGCTGTTCTGTGATGTATGTGCTTCACTGTGCTGCTCTGAGGTGTGCTGCACTCTGCTGCTCTGTAATGTGCTGCACTCTGCTGCTCTGTAATGTGCTGCACTCTGCTGCTCTGTAATGTGCTGCTCTGTAATGTGCTGCACTGCACTGCACTGCTTTGTGATGTGATGTGCACTGTGTTGCTCTGTGATGTGCTGCACTGTGTTGCTCTGTGGTGTGATGTGCACTCTGCTGCTCTGTGATGTGCTACACTGTGTTGCTTTGTGATGTACGTGCTTCACTGTGCTGCTTAGTGATGTGATGTGCACTGTGCTGCTCTGAGGTGTGCTGCACTGTGTTGCTCTGTGATGTGCTGCTCTGTGATGTACTGCACTGTGCTGCTCTGTGATGTACGTGCTTCACTGTGCTGCTCTGCTCTGTGATGTGATGTGCTGTGCTGTGCTGTGCTTCACTGTGATGTGATGTGCACTGTGCTGCTCTGAGATGTGCTTCACTGTGCTGCCCTGCTCTGTGATGTGCACTGTACTGCACTGTCATGTGCACTGTGCTGCTCTGCAGAGAGCTTGCGCATGCTGCAATCTGCAAATGTATGCGTTATGTTGTGTAAGTAATCAAAAATAACAGGCAGAGTAAGCCAAACACATAATGGAATGAGACAGACACTCAACAGGGACTATGAATGAGACAGCTAAAGTAAAATCCTAATCATTACACATGACATCAGTGTTTCAATTACATTCATTCTTAATTATTCATTTCTTTTCATACTTGTCAGAGAAAACAAGTGAAAATTTCCCTTAATACAAATGCAGACGTATTTGTCACAGCTGGTTTGGAATTATTATATGAGTAGTTGGACAATTACGAGAACACAGAAAATGGCCCTCCTGACATCTGAAACAAGTCTGTATTTGCTTCATTACATCTGTCAACGGAATACAAACGAAATAACAAATAGTATCAATCAATTTACATATATGGCGAGTAGTGTACACTTTTATGTAAATTTGCGGTGCTAGAAAGGAGTAAGGGACACAGTTAAATATTGGGGACGAATACTTTAAGGTTTAAGTTAAATACAAAATCACTGAGATCAGTGAATGCACAGAAATCTGTAAGCCAGAAATACTTTGTAAAGATTTGCTCATTTCAATAAATATGGGAAAGCTTAAGAAGGATGTAATCAACCTGCTGAGATATTCTTGTAAGTTAACACTGTGTTTGGCATGCACAATTACAGGGTTAGTGAAACCAAAAACATATTTTGCACAAGGTTTTATTTGCAACTACAATATGCCGTTATTATGATACAGAAGATTAGAGCTCAAATCATATGTTAAAACAAAACAGTGCCACAGTATGTTCTGTTCTACAGTACCAATCCTCTTAACACTCTTTTCTTAGAAATAAAACCCCACTAATCAAACATATTGAACAAAACTGGAATCAGTGGGGGAAAAAAATGGTTTAGTATGATACTGCTATTGTTATGGAAGATGGTCAGCCTTTCAACAAGGGCGGAAAATCAGAGTGATTCTCCGGAAAGCAAAAGTGTGCGTAATTAGAGTAATGGAAAAAAACAAGGCAAGTAGACTTATGCTTTGGAAAGCAAAAGAGCTTTGGTAGGTGTGGGGAAACAGATCAATACAAAGAAGATATATTTCTATTCAGGTGAATGCTTTAATTTTTTTGAATCAATCTGCACCCATATGTACAGTTGTACATATATATGTATGCATGTGGGGAAGAAATACAGAACCATGATTACCGGTACGCCATCATATAATGAAATGAAAGTATGATGCCTAGTAGTATGAACTAATTGAACTAACTACAAGTGTCACTGTTCTTGTATAAAAAACAAAATGGACAAAATTTGAAGAGAGGTGAGACATGTGCATGAACCTGCCTTCATTTTGTATCTGAATTGCAATACCAGTGAAAATGTGGTTGTGGTTACGAGGGGGCACATACACAGTGAAGGAGATAATACTAGGATAAGTAAAGTCCCTTCACTTCCTGTTTAAGGGGTGACAATACATAGTACATGTAATAGGAAATATAAGGCGCAAAATAAAGGTTACCATACTAGCTATGAATTCTGTTCAATTCACATCATAATTTAAAGATGATTAATGTGATGTGAATTATAAGAATGGTGACATTCAGTCTAACTGGAGCACACATACTATTTCTATCAAATAGATGTAAACAATACCTATGCAATTATGCTTTGCATAATCAAACATGCTTGTAATAAAGACAAACTGAGAAGAACTGAACAACCGAGCAGGCTGTGTGGTGAAGTAATGTATTTACTCTATTAAAAACACATCTTCAAAAGAAGTGTATCTAAACCACAAATCAAATTTGATTCATTGATTCATTAATACAAGACTTATTTTGACTACGCTAACACCTCTGTAATTTACATAAACGTGTGTGCTACAAATAGAGAAAATATGGTAATACAGCACGTTGCAGCTAGAATAACCACAAAACACACCTTGAACTCATCATCTTCAAAATAAACAAATAAATTCACCAGACATCACAAATAATTCTCTTACCAAATGAGCCAGATCCAAACTTTCACTCAAACAAAACCAAACAAAACAAAAAGCACAACAAAAAGTAGAATTCAATGCCCGATTAGGAACGAATAAGCACCAAGGTACAGAGTCATATAGGGCACCAGCTACCATACACAATACAATATTTCTATTTAAGCATGAATAATTAAGACGACAGCATGAAAACCAGCTGAGATAGGTAGTTAATTTTGAAAGATGTCTAGCGTCTGACTTGGCTCACCTGACACCGTTCCCATGAGATATTAAAAGCAATCAATAGACTATCAATGCATATAGCACATGCTACTGTCATTAAGTTCACCTGTATCAGGATACGGTCAATGTCATTCAGTCAGTAGTAGCACCACACATTCATGTAGGTTATACATTCCATGTTATGCAATCTCCAGAAGAAAATCGCTTTCAATTACATTAGGATACCCCCCCCCCCTCCTCCAAATAGCAATTTCTCCTGTAACGTTTTCAATTATCAGGAATAAGGAGGTGTCAGTGATAACCCCCAAGTACAAGGTACTGTCACATTGGATTAATTCTATTATGAATCGTAATTCACATCAATATCTACGCCACCTTTGGCAGATTCCCCTGGAGAGAGGGAAGATAAATTCGTTTTCATTCTGCAAGTGTTTCTACATTGTAACCTGGCCACAAAACAATGCAATGACAATTTCGATAATAGAAAATTCAACCAATTACAACAAAATCTTGAAGTCGCTTTCAGCTACCACAAAACTGCCATTACCACATTAAAACCATTCTTCCCAAGGACAGAATAAAAGTCTATCGACCAATATTTTGCACATTTTGTTCCCTTTTTTTTTGTGATTAATTTTGATACACATCAAACTACAGTGCTGTCCGACATCGATCTAAATGTATTTTAGACCTCCCTTCCTCAAATTCTAGACAGCTTGGGAGATATCCTTTTCATTTTAAGAAGACGAATTCTTGTCACAATTGTTACTGTTACATTGAACATATAAAGTACAATTCCCAGTGGCACTGCGGCCTCAGCAAAGGAGGTGACGAACACCAAGGGACACTACCGCTTTACACGACTATCCACATGTAAAGCTAAATCCCTAGAAATGTACCTCCAAAGGTAAAAAATGTATGTATGTTTGTTTTCGACACATGTTCACAGGAGACAGACACACCAAAATAAGGTGTGTAAATGTATGTCTTGTGTGAATAGCTAGACAGAGGGACAAAGGCACAAGCCCTTGTCACCATCTATTGAAAAAGTCTTCTAATCTAAGTCAATGCATGGTACAATAGAGACCTGGCATACAGTCCTAACTACAATCAGAAACGAAATAAATTGATCTAATTGGAAATAATTAACACCAGATGTAATTAAAATATATAAAAGATGTCTTGGACAGATGGCCAATGTAGGTAGGGGTTAGGTGATTTTGGCAAATTCATGTACAGACCGTTTAAAAACGTTATGTAGGAATGGAATTTTACTTATCACAAGCAGTACTTTGTTGACAAATAACTGAAGTATGATTTTTACATCGTCAAGCAGGTGTGAAACACATATCAGCAGTTCACCACATAAGACTATTGGTAATAGCATGGCTAAGATAATTACCAATTACCACTGTCTCATTATGCTCTTTAATACACAGATTACACCTTAATTATTATGCACGAGTGTTTCTTGCCTTTAGAAATGTGGTCAGGCAAGAGCGTTTTGGGAAGACACGTACAAGTATGAACGTTTGGCCACCTGCCAGGGCTTGAGAAGTGCTGGGTCTGAGGGAATGGAATTGTGTTATTGGAAGAGAGGGTATGTGTGTGTGTGTATGTGGTGGTGGGGGTTTCTTTATTGGCAGCAGAGACACTGTGACAGATGGTGAAAATGTCAACTGACTAACAGCTAGCGGGCAAACTTTAACCATACAGCAGCCACTTGCCACTTGTTTTCTGATGACTGAACAAATTAACGCATCTCACAGGGGAGAAATACTGAACTACTTTGCACTCATTATCTGTTTTTTTTTCAAAATGCCTCAGGTAGTTTTCTGTAGAGGAAAGCAATTAATCTTCGTAATCATTGTTTTCTCATTTGATAGAGAGAAAAGAAAGCATCTGCCTAATGTAATCTATATTAACCTCCATAGATGCCTTGGGCTCTTCACCAACAAAATGGATCAGCGTGTCACTACATCTTGACAAAAAATCACTATTCACTTTCATTTCTTTATGAATCACTCCCAGAAGGACACGTAAAAAATATTCAATTTTCCCCTTCCTCTATTGCTTTTCCATTCCCGGAAGAATTGGAGAGGATATTGTCCGCAGTGTTTGAATAATGAATCAAGTTGTAAATTGGAAGATACATATGTGTATACCTTTTGCTTGGCAAGATGAGGCTCTTTTATTAATAACTTAGATAGCGTCGGTGTTTCGCCTGCTGATGCTGCAATCATCCACTGTCGCTCCGTCTCGCTCAACTGCCAATCAAAAACAGAAATAAAACAAATAGCATAAATAATGTGAAGTGAGGTAATGGATTTATTAAAAATTAAGCAAAACCTGAAACATGCACGTAATATTTTCTCTGTACGATGCTGCAAGAAAAAAACAAAAACGTGCATGAAGAGAGCAAGGCAATGAGAAGAAAGACATGGCATGCAGAGCATAAAAAAATGCAGCCGCTGATGTCAGACCCATGCGCACATTTAAAGTTAAAAGTTTCAACCTATCCACAGTGGTTGCTGCACTATACCTTGGTGTAAAAAAAGTTTCCACGGTGTTAAATGACAATATGGTATGAGGAATCAACAAAAGGAGTTATTGTGGGTATATTCACAATGCAAGATACAAGGATACTATGCAGTAGCTAAGTCACACTATTTTTGAATATATACCACTACATCGGCGGTGACCATGCAAATAGGTTGCAAGGATGGCAACCAATATATGTTACCTCCAAAAACAGAAAACAACGTTTCTCAGAACTGGTAGAGGTGACGGAAAAATGTCTAGAGACTGGACAGTGTGTGATTGATAATATTTCGGGTTGGGTGGAATCATCCTGGAGGGTGGGTGAAGTAACAAATAATTAAACAGTGGTTAGGAATCATCAGGAAAAAACAAACAAACAAAACTGTGAATCAGTAAGAGTAAATAAAATGAAGACGAAATGAAGAAGAGGAAGTGAAAAGATAAAGAACCTGTGAATTGAGGCTTTCTTGACTTTGTTGTTTATCATCGCTATAATCACCCTCTTCTTTCTCCTAATGGTCATACAGATGTAGAAAGAAAACAGATGCATGAAGCGAAGACGCACACAAACATTTACACAGGTAGTAGAGCATACAACTTTTGTATGTCACGCATAATAATCAGATTATGTATTTGCCCTACTGGAAGTGCATTTTCGAACAAAAATTGGGTGGAATCATTAAAATATTATCATGGAAAAATGTTTGTATTTCATGTGAGCTTCTAATAGAGCAAATACGGTGTATATATACACATATAGTGCCAAACTTTTAAAAGGTGGGGGTAAAACTTTTTTTTTAAAGTTTTTAAGTTGCTATGCGTGTCATTGACAGTTACAAAAAATAGAATAGAAATGCTAATATGTTCGTATCACAACATTCAAAGATGCAGAGAGTTTTGTAGGGATACAAACATATTTACATTAAATCATAAAAATAAATAACAACAAGCAGTGTTTTATGTACAAAGCATGATGACTGGTAAAATAATTCATGGGATAGCAATTCAGGAGACATCTGGCCAACTTGCAGCCCCTTTATCACAAGATCGACATAATCAATGCTGAGGACTGTGGTTCGATTAAATAAATGAGATGAGGGTACAATAAGGTACGAGGGGGTGGCCTGAGATAAAGATGCACACTTTCATTCAAGCCAGGCAAACACATGGTGGGGATGAACACTACCGAAATAATTTTAATCCCCTTAATTCTCATAGATTGGGGATCAAGGGAGAAACTAATGTAAACTGAGAGGCGAATAAAAACAAAAAGACATTCAAACATAACCTTGACTTTGAACCTTCCACACTAGTATCAAGTAAATAACACATGCACATTTATTGGCAATTTGAATAGTAAGGGTACCAGCTTGAAAGCACAATTCACGTGGGGATACATTATTATTCTTTACATTTAATTTGGGGAATTTCGATTTTGCAAAATCAGAGAAATACAATGCTGGACAAATGAATTGAAGCGTTACAGCCATGAGAAATATAGGTTTGAAGTAACAGCTATGTTCTCCTCATTCAGTTAATACAAACATGGAATAAAAGAGCAGTCTGACACAAACATGTATTAATTAAAGACTAGAGGTATGGTTTGGGTTCCACTGTTTATACAGATGTACATTGATCTAGTCCGCAGAAACAACAACTGAGATAACAAAGAGTACCATCCATTTGACACACTAAATATAGTTTGCCAGAGTCATCACAACAACATTGTTAAAAACAACAAACAAATACGCCTAGTCTATAAAAACATTAACAGGTGCTAGACTAAATTTCAGACTTGCATAACAAAAGGATTCAACAATTAGCTGTCCATGTACACAAATACAATGGGAAATGCTAAGACAAAGAGTGGCTCCAGTAATCCCTCGTTGTGTTGATAACTGGAAAACAGACCATGGGGAAAAATTTCCTAACCATTCAAACATTGAATCCACTTATTCATTATTCTCTAATTTTCGGGGTTATTCTGACATTGTTTTGAAGTGTTTCTACATAGTGTTAATTTGCTTCAAATCACAGTCTGAAATTATTCCTCCATTCTTCAAATTGAAGTAAACTTTCGCCACCTTTTACAAAATAAATCAACATAATTTTTTTACATTGTTTGATTAGCCTCAAGAATGAGTGAAATCTAAACATTGGTGGTATTAAATTTCTAAGGGTTCAAAGTCAGTACAAGTATGTATTGTGGACCGCTTGCAGTTCACAAGACACAAATTTTCGCGAGTCAGTGACTTTTGCAAAAAGTTTGTCTTCATAGACATAACAAAAAAAAAAAAAATTTTAAAGTAGGTACTGTATTGGTAAAGTTTTGTAAAGTACAAAGAAACACAGAACTTTGCAAGAAGATAATGATATTGAATAACTTTTTGTGGAAATAGTATTTCACAATAAAAACGTCATTTTTCTTTCACAACCTCTCTATAATGTGAAAGGATGTATCCCCTTTCAGAGTAAACAGTGTATCAGTGAATCAGTCTTAAGTAACATATGTAAGAAGACGAAACAAAATTATGTTGCACACTCAACCTTTAACCATGTTAATAAGGTCAAAACTAACGAGAGTTTTTGGCAATGACATAAAAAATGTCTGTTTTCTGTAGTTTAAAATACTCACAGTCAAATCTTTTGTTTCATACTCTTCCAGGAGAGAACATGAATGTGACTTCAGAAAGACAAAAATGCTGTACAATTCAAAGAAGTTCAACAGCCTGGTTCCAAACAGTGACATGTTTTTTTTTAAAAAGTTTAATTAATTGTCGGGTACAAAATATTAAAGACTTGCAACACAAAGTGGAATAGAAAATGAAGAAAGAGTGACTCGCGGTGGGACCAGCAGTAAATAAGATTAGGAGTTTGCAGCTGGTCTTCCATTCTTAACGTTCTTATTTCTGCATGGATTGACTCCTGACCTTTGACACGCCATATACATGTCCACAAAAGCCAACAGAATAAAGCAGGTAGGATTCATTGAAAAAAAGGCACTGCACAGAATTGTAGAGAAGGTAATAAAACGAAATAGGATCTCCAGCCAGCGAAACAATTGATGAAACATCTACCAATGGATGTGTGTTATGCCAACACCTATATAAAGAGGCGTATATACGTGCCCTTGTAGCCGAGACAGCAAAAAGGGGGAGCAAACAAAGAGCCTGCTAGTTTTGGAATTATATCAAAAGCAAGTTAAAATCAAAATGTGTAATTAGGAGGTGTGTTGACAAATAAACCATTGTAGCATGAATTCTGAAGAGGTGATTGAATGAACCGAGTCTTAATTACGGACAAAGTATGGAATCCAGCACGCTCTGGGATTAAGAAATCTCTATTCTGCGGAGAAAAAGGCAACCCCCCTCACCCAAAAGCCTTTGTGACCTCTATGACCATTGAATGCAACAAACTTGCTGAAAACATTGCTCACAAGATGCATGTATTGGTCTCCAGCTCAAAGCATCCAGAAGCAGTTACTCAGAGAACTCTGATCAGAATGGGGATATCGGATGGGACGGCAGGGTAGTGAAACAGAAAGAAAGCATCAACCCCCCAACTCCCACCTCCCCTACTCCAATATTTGGCTGTTGTAGAATTATGAAACACCACAAAAAGTCAGAAGTCTACTTCATGAATTAATAAACACAGTATTGCAAAAACAAACAAAAAAATAATTGAATGCATTTACAATGTTCATAAACCAGTTTTATAACTTTAAAAAATTGGGATTACATAAAAAAAATTTAATAAAAATGATAATGATGTCTGGCCCAAAAAAGAAGCAAATTAAAAAAAAATTAATAAGAGAATTTAATGCATTTTTTTTTTTTAAGAACCACAAACCGGATACACACGCATGGTTAGCTATCCCAGAACAAGAGCCATGCTGCGTATAAAACAAAGCAAGCAAAAGTCTGGGAGGAAATCATTAATTGTAGCCCTGCTGGAAGTGTTAACGTCTTGATTACACAAAGCATACCATTAGAAGTGAAATTGGCATGATGTATGCCAGCGGGAAATAAAAACACATACACAGTTCACTTCATAGGTATATGTGCTTTACAGTAAATGCAGGGGGAAATTAAAACTAATAATGGAACTACAGATTCATTGTACGAAGCGTATTAAAATTATTCTGACTATAGGGTCCCAGGACATTTGGCATGTTTAATATCATATTTATTGGCATAGAAAGTGAAGAGATGCGAGAGGTAGATTAGTACGCCAGGCATGATGCTGTATAATAATATAGTAATTAGAATGAGGAACTAAGTTAATTATTTTGTGTATTACAATATTGAAACTGGGAATACATTGAGTATTAGTTGGACTACACATGTACTTGTTGTATTAATAATAGTATGTATATAGGAGGAGATTGGTTGGTTCTCCCCTAGCTTTCAGATCAATTACATACACCATTCAGGTTTACATGAACTGATATCCTATTGTGGTAAAGCCTAAAAGGAAACCTCTGATATCATGATCAAAAAAGGAAACATTATTTTTTTTTGCTTTATAATATATAAATATGACTTGCATTATTTTTTTTATTATATTGTAGTCAGTAACTTATCATATTTGTATGTATCCATTGTTTTTTAGTTTTTGTTTTTTTATTTCATTTTCCAAGTCCTCTGGATGATACCTGTGTGATGTACATGAATAGACGGACACTGTAATGTTGCGGACTGATAGAATTGGACATTTTCATACGAGT